AATAAAGATTCTCCTTGGCTGGTTTCAAAGATGGGAAGGTCCCACAGCACAAAAGGGAGGAGACCTCTGAAAGCCATTTTCTGACAGGAAGTCAGAAAAGAAAGACCAGTGGCCTCCTGTAATGACAAAGAACTGAAATCTGTCACAACTACAGTAGACTAGGAAGACAACCAGAACTCCAGATGAGACCACAGCCCAGTCAACAGGTCTTGTGAGACCCTAAGTGGATAGCACATCTATGCCACACAGGGAATTCTGATTAGGAAACTCCAAGAGCCAATAAATTGGATGTTGTTTTAAACTATAATGTCTGTGGTTATTTGTTAGGTAAAAAACAAACACAAGGGTTCCGCAGTGCCTACATGTCATCATTCTGAATAGCACTCACTCTATCGTCAGTGAGTGATTTCAACTCTTATCAACCTACAGGACGGGGAGAACTGTCCATGGGGGTTTCCCAGCCTGTTAATTCTAGAACAGGAAACCTCACAGTTCTCCAGAGGCTGGTGAGTTTCAACTGCTTATTTTGTTGTGAGAGGGCTTCAAAAAGTTCATGGAAAAATGGAACGAAAAGGTAGCAGGAAAAAAAAAACCCAGAACTTTTCCACTAAAGTTTCTAGTTTTCTTAAGCTAGAAAACGGAAAGTACAGAAAAAAATGTTTCCCCTAAATTCAAGTTCTGTATGCTCTGCATTATACCATGGAAAGTACCACAGGCACCCAGAGGTCTATAAATCTGTCTTACAGATAGTATTCTACATATTGAATCCTAGTCCTCCACCAGTTACAAAAAAATGGCCACGGCTATTTATATTCTATCAGTAAAACCATCTATTATACAATTTCCATTCCATGTTTATGGCTCTACTTGCGAAAAGCACACAACATAGTAAAAATGGTTTTAATGTCGAATTCTCCAAAGGCCACATTACAATCCTATTTAACCTTTTGGTGTACATAATAAGATTTTATTTTCATTTTAAAAATTGGTGCAACCATAGAATAGCCCACCATTTGAACTCAAAATAGCAGAATTTATTCAATAGCAGACTTCAGAAGGGTTAGAAAGGCAATAGGAAACACAGAGGAAATAAATCAAGTGATAAGACTTTATGGGGAATGCAATGAATGAGATGAAACAAAATGTGTATGAATTGTTGAACAGGAAACTGATGCTCTGCTCTGTGGGTGTGCTCACCCTATTTATAATTTTAAGAATTTTACACGGAATCCAGGAACAGGAATGGGAATAGTGATAAGAAAAGGGTAGAAGGAAGGAAGGGAGAGGAGGAGAGGAAGGCAGAACCTATCGCAATGATCGACACATAACCGCATCTCCCCCTCCAAAGGGAAGAACAACAGAAACCATGCGGAAGGGAGACAGCGGTCGGTGTGAGCTATGAAAACAATTATAATTTATAATCTATCAAGGGGTCATGGGACGGGGGAAGAAGAGCTGATACCAAGAGCTCAGTAGAACGGAAATGTCTAGAAAAGAACAACGGCAACATATGTAGAAATATGCCTGAGACAATTGAGGTAAGGATTGTAATAAGAAAAGGTTTGAAAAACTTTGAAGAACCAAAACAATTACTCCACCAGCATACAAGTGAGGATGCAGAGAAACTAGATCATTGTACAATGCTAATGAAAATATAAAATGTAACAGCCACTCTAACCATAACCCAGATCTCCTGATTCCCAATCCCAGTAAGTGTCAAAATATTGCATCAATCCAAAGATCTCACTTTGAATCTTGTTATAGATATTTTACAACAGTAGATGACAAATAAGTTAATGGAATTGAAATGTTCTCATCCTACCCAAAGCAGTTCTCAAAGTATGATCTAATCCCCCAAATCTGCACCATGTCTGATAACTCTAAATAGTGCTTCCTATTAAAATAGAAATTCAAGATTTACTTGTACAGGGTTGAGAAAAGAAGCTAAAACAACAAGAAATAGAAAAGGATGGAAATGATTTACTTTAAAAAAATTTTTCAACGTTTTATTGGCACATAATTTACATATCATAGAACTGAATAGTTCAATCACTCAAACATATCGAGGGGGAATTGTACCATCACCACCACATCCATCCTAGAGCATTCCCTCCCCACATGGTTGCTTTGCATTATCCAGCTCACTAATCACAGCTTGGGAAGAAACAGCAGACTTGTGGTGCGATACCCCAAACCTGAGTTCACAGCTAAATTGGACCCCCAGCTCTATCACATCTTAGCCACAGGAAAAGAACACCAGGCAAGGTGAAACCCTAGAAATCCCAAGGAATCTTCCACAATATACCAATGTCTAGTGCCCCAATGTCCCTTCTACCCAACTGTTTCCAGAGGCAGCAGAGCTGAGACTTT